TTATTATGAATATATGTACAACTGGTGGCAGGCCGGCAACTAGTTTTCAACAAATGAATAGTACGTAATGTAGTACATGACTAGATCATGATATATACAAAAATGACGTGTCATATATATGGGGAATATAATTAGAATCTTACCGAAAGTTGTGAAAAGCAAAGGAATTTCATGAGCTACATAGTGCCTTTACGTGAGGGAACAACAACACATTTATATTCAAAGGAGGATGGTTACATATATATGGTTTGACAACTTTCCATTTGTCACATGCACGTAGTTTTACAGTTTCGATCGGCAATTCCACCCAATAAAGTAAAAAAACTATTAGTTTTAAAATAATTTTTTATTTTTAATAAAAAATAAAAATGAGATTATTTTGAAATCAATTCTGAAATTGTGTTTAGTTAATTTTTTAAGAGATTATTTTGAGTATAATAAAAAAATAAAATCGTATTTATTAATTAATATATTATAATATTATTGATAAGTACTAAAAAATGAAAAGAGAAAAATGAAAATAACTTTCTAACTGTTTTCTAATTTTTTAAATTTTTTTAAAAATCATTCTCACTGTTTTTGTTTTATTTTTGTTTTTAAAATATTTACTAAACAAATGTCGTTTCGTTTTCATTTGTTGCTTCTCGAAATACGTAAAACCTATTTTTAAAAACAGTTCCAAACACGCACCATAGAACCTAGATCAACTCAAAAAAGTGAAAACCAAGTGTCTTAATCTAAAGGTGTTGATACTTCAAAGATAAAAATTAGTAGTTTGATGGCCGATATAAATGTATAATGTCACATGGATCTAGTGAGTTTAACCTGTGAAATGGGGAAAGCCCTGAATTTACGTAGATAGAATATTAATAGAATTAGTTATCAATTTCAGATTTTTCTTCTATTTAAACAAGTAAGAAAATTAACTTAAAGCAAAATAATGAAATAGCCAGGCTTTACTATATATTCAAATGAGTGTGTCTCTGTTTCTTTTCTAGATTCGGAGGGTTTGATTAGTACAACTGAAATGAAAGAGTTTAATTAATATAACGAACTAATTTACGCTTAATATGCAATATCAAGGCGTCGCTATATCCAGTGTACGCCTTTATTTTATTTTATTTCTTTTTGATTGATGGTTTCGGTTTGGGTTTATTTCACTAATTTTTAAGCCCGTACGTTGAGATCTATGAATCTATGATTATGCCTAGCGCTGTACATGGATTGGATTGGTGTGAGGTATAATTTTTTATTGCCCCGCTTTAAAGGGTGCAAGTTACACATATTTGATCTCAACAATGTTAGAAAAATTTCACAACCTAATGATGTTTGGGTTAGGTTGGAAGGGGACAGGGTTAGGTGGTCGGGTTCACTATTCAAAGAATTAAAATTCAATCTAACATTCAAAGTTCATCATCAAATAATACTGATAATCAAATAGAAATAATACTGATAATCAAACATAACTCCAACATTTAAAGTTCATCATTAAATAGAAATAATATTAATTAGTTCATCATCAAATAGATAGCAATTCAAAGTTCAATCCAACATCAAATATGAAACAAAGTAATCCATCCAACATCAAACATAAAGCAAACATAAACTAGAGGCTTAATTCAAATTCATCCAAAGCAAACACTGCAATAACAACCATTCTTATCAGTCCACACTCATAGGCTCCTTATCAGGCATGTTTGTGCGGGTTATTATAGGCCCAACCCACAAACCGTCCTAAACACCTCGGGCCAGACATTTAGTAGACCGAAAAATAAAAAAAATAATGTTATAAGTTACCTTTTTTTAGGTTAGGTTTGAGTGTGGTGGGTTGAATTTGTGAGTTGTTCAAATTCATGTACAACTCTAATTATGACGGATCTTTTGTATTATTTTTTTGAAAAATTCTGAAGCATATCTTTTTACTCTCTCGTTTTCTGTATTTACTCTTTAATTGGTCGGCCAAGCAAGTATTTTTTTCTCTGGAGATTTCCTTTAAGATTTGGGAATAATCTTTTTGTATTCCGTTTAAATAGTACTTTACCATAGATATTTCTTTACCAATTCAATTTAAATACTACTCCGTACGTCCTTCATAAGTTGCTTCCCCTTGTATAAGTATCTTAACATATTATAAATATGATTCAGCTTTTTCAGAAGTACATGGTTTTGAAAACCTAGTGGATCGCATGGAGCAAAGCAACAAACGAATTAAACGGTAATATTCCGGAGTCGGTCTAAGATTAGTTGATCATAATTTTATTTTGGAAAAAGAAAAAGAAGGAGCAATTGTTGATAAGTAATTTGTAAATATATCATAAATAAAATGGCTCACCTAATTAATCTTTAACTAGCTAGCACATCGATATATGAAGTCATGTGTACAAATATGCAACGAAAATTTATTACTAATATTTAAGCATGCAGTCTGAAGATATATACGTGTTCTTATTTACAAATATTTGGGAAATGAATATGATGTGTTATGTTTTTAATGGATTTTGTAACATTGATGACGCGTTGTTCGATATCTAATTTTGTATATATTGAGATTCTTTTTTTGTTGTTGTTGTTGCTAAAGTAGTTTATGTTGAGATTCGATTGTAATGATTTAATTGCACATTTTTGGATTTTATTTAAGGTCTGTTTATCGAAATCTTTCTTATCGGATTTTTAGGATGATTTACACATATAGCAAAATTTAAATATCAAAGTTTAAATTTAGTAAAAATTTTAAAATATTATAAGAATAGTAAATTTTTATGTCATTATATAATATAAAATATGACATTATTATGATAATTATTATGTCATTTTTGTTATATTTGTATCTAGAAAATTTTGTTAAGTTTCAACTCAATCTATGAAATTTTGTTATGCAGTGTGTCATAAGATTGGTTAAAAAATGGGCCTTTTAAGAAGCCCAAAAATAAGAAGTTCAAACTGCCCAAATCAAATGAAGTAAAGTTTAAACAGGATAATGAAGTAAACAGTTGATTGAATTATGAGATTTTAAAATTATTTAGAGTAAATAGTAGTATAAATTTCTTAGTAAAAAATCTTTATTAGTCATGAATAACGATAAAAAAATATTTATACTGCTATGTACTTCAAACATTTCAAATATTTTAAAATCTACTAATTTACTTCATTTGGTTCCATAAAAAGGCTATTTACTATAATTTCTCATTTTTAAAATAAGACAAGAATAACAAAATTTAATATCATTAAAATAATAAATATATTGTTATATGGTTCAAAATGTAATTTTGTTATCATAATAATTATGTCATTTTGTTATTCTTGTAATATTATAAAAATTTTACTAAATTTTAACTCAATGTCTGAAATTTTATCTTATAATGATTACCTTAAAAGAAAATTGTTGAACTTACGCTTAGAATACATGCGTCTGAATTTTTAATCTTTGTTATTAATTAATACATTTTAATTAAAAAAAATATTAATCAAGAGCAAGAAGTAAACATCAAGCCCATGCACTCTAAAAAAATATTTATCTCCTTTTTTGTAACCTCAAATAGGTACACATATAGCAAAATTTAACAAAGGAATATTTTAGAGAAAGTGCGGCTTATAATACATGCAATCACAATTATGTCTATTCCAAATTGGGTGTTTTAATCATTATAAAAAATGGGGTTTTTAATTATTACTCATTCGATTCGTTTTTTCATTTTAACTACGTACTCTTATGACCGTAGTACTTTTGCATAAATATTCTTTTCTCTTCACCCTGTTGTAGGTTGCCAGTCTATAACAATCAATCTTGTTCTTAATCGCTATCAACAAGTAATGATCACCAACCGAATTTGAGGCTTAGGCGGGGAACCCATAATGAGCAAGATCCGAGACTTTACCGTTAACGAAATTTGAAAACTCCAGGATTGTTGGGATCGTTGATCTCGGTCCCAGGGAGATCGTCGAGATCGTTGGGATCACCGTTGGAGGGAACCTCGGCGATTATTTAGTGGGTCTCCTCGGTTTGCAGCGTCGATTACGGAGCCGGCTAGGTTTTCGACGCGATGGTGCCGCGGAGGACGAAGCCGCAGAGGATGGTAATCCTGATGTTGTTGAAGGTCTGGGTATGGTGTCCATGAGGTAAGGCGGTGCCAAATCGTCTGCCATTAGGGGCTAGAGAAGCGTTGGTGTTCTTCATCAGAAGAACAATCCATTTTCTTCTAAGCTTAGAAGCTTCTCTTGCTCCATCTCTTTCAGGAATTTGAAACGGCAAAAATTTGTGCAGTGAAAAGGAGTAACGAGAGTCTTTAGGAGGTTTGGGAATTGGAAAATGGAAGCTTGGTGTGTGCCATGGAAATGGTGGGTTTTTTGTTCAAAAAAAAAAAGAAAAGAAAAGAAAAGAAAAACAAGATGAAACGTTGGGGTTTTTATTAGCTCTTTTACGATTATACCCCTACTTAGAAGGTCACGTAAGGGGCATGTTTCATATTCCGTGAAAAAATTATATGAGATAGACGTAAATGTGTTAATTGCACTTATTTTAAAAGGTTAAGGAGTGTTTAATCAATATTAAAAAAATAAATATTAAATTGTCACCTACAATATAGGTTAGGGATTATTTGTACCAATTACCTTTTTTTATATAAACTTTTAGCTCTCACTCTTATATTGGTAAGTGTTCAAAAAAATCATCAAATCAATTAATATAAAAGATTACATTTTTTTAATAAAAAATAACAACTCAAAGTTAGTACAAGAATTGAGATTAAATCTGATGTCCTTGACATATTAGTGTCATCGCAGTCTGAAATGGTAGTTAATATGGACCCCAATTTACACGTTTAGCTCCAATAGAAGGAGACAGACAATGGGATTGAATTGCTATTTGCTATTTTTGTTGAAAGATATGTGTACCACAACGAACAAGAAATATATATTTTTTATTTCTTGTTTTTTTCCCCTGAATTAAAATTTCATTCAAACGAAACTGAAGAAGAAGGATTAATTCCAAAGTACAAAACATATCAAAGCATTGCAAAATCCCGGATAAGAACGCAGACTATTACAGAAAATAGACCAACTTTAGCTACATATATAACGTTACATTGAAGGTGAACTAACAATTGCAAATCTTGTAGTAGAAATTGGGTTACAAAGAAGTACCTGGGTACCAACTGCCCAGATTTCGCACATACTTGTAGATTCCCTGCGTGACTAGTTTGTGACGCTCGTCGCGGCGAGTCCTAATTATAACAAGCGTGAACGCCTTAGCGGCGGTGATGATTGCCGTCACACGAATGATTTCGCCTACCACAACCATTGCAAGCCCCAAGTTGCTTATCCACCAGAACTCCCTCACTTGAGGGATCAAAAGAAGTTCAAGGAAATACTCCGACAATATAATGTATCGTTTGTCGATGAGGAGAGATCTGAGAGTGACGTTTGATATGGCAATGGCTAAATGGTACTCGGAAATGTGAAAAAATATATCTACCAAGAACATCAGAGGCAACTGTTTGCGAGCTGTGAGAGAGAATAGTCTCCTATGTCATAGAGTTTGTTGGACATAAGTACTTATAAGTACAGACAACAAATTGACCATTTTTAGATTTACTATAAACAAGAACCTCAGTGAATTTCAAGCAACCGGAATTTTCTAATTAATAGCCTCCACAAGATTTAATTTGGATAGGCCTCTCTAAATTAAGCTTCAAACATCGAACTACATCAATGATGAAATTGGAAATCGGTCCCTTTAGAGGTAAATGATCAAGATATTACGACCCGTGACTATGAAAATAAAGAATAAGATAGGTTCATTTGAGAAAGTCTTGACCTTCATTAATATGTTCATTCGAGAAAACCCACAATCTCCCAATAGTGTGTGTATATATATATATATATATATATATATATATGCGAAAATAATTCATCCATCCTCTTTAGATCATTTCATTCAAGGTATTTAAATTGAGCAATAAGGTTACAATATCACATTTATTACTAAAATGATATAATTAAAACCACAGTCTACCCACAATGCCACTGTCCCACCACAATGTAATCAACCTCTTAATTCCCAAATTAAAGGGAATGCTAAGGAATAAAACAACAAACTAACAAATTAATTAAAATTGAAATTAAAGAACAAAATAAATTAAAAAATATATTTGGAGGATCACAGGAATATGTGGAATGTTGGGAATCAAGGAAATTCATGAATCTCTGCCAAAATTCAAACTTGATTAATGCTCACCAATAATCCGAATAGTGACTCCTAAAAGCCGGCTGAATACTGGATGAGAAACAGTAATTCGTTCAATCTTGGGTGAAAAAATTGGGAGAAGATTTTTTTTTCTTTTTTCGATAAAGCAAAATAATATGACCTCATGACGTTCCAGGTCAAAGAATGCAATAAGATAACATTTATTTCTCGTTCGTTTTACTCGTTTGAGTTAATAATTTAAATTAAAAAATGAATTTATGTGAAAAAAATACTGTGATAGAAAAAATTAACTTAAAATTTTTGTGAAAAAAAAACAATTTAGTAAAAACGTCAGTTGTAATTCGAATTCAAGCCTAAATCTCCATTTTTTTTTTTGGTAAACAAGAATTTCAAGCCAACAGTACTAATAGACTATCCTTAATTTCTTCAGTTCTCCCCGTCCAAAGGAAATTTCTCATTACAACTTCAATACCATGAAGAAGGGAAACAAATTATTTAAATACCATGAAACTGTGATACAGAGTACTAATTATATATAGTAAAGTCAATAAGCTGTAACCTCTACCTCTGCGTCACGGAAAGTGCCTTGCCACGTCAATTAAAAAACTTGGCTTTAATTTTATCGAGAAAATCCAAAAAGTACCCTTTTAGTTTTAAGTAAATCCAAATATAAGGGATACTTTTACCCATCTATTTTTTATAATAAAAAAGTATCCCTCATATTTTTAAATTATCCCAAAATTATACCTTAAATTGTTCAAAAAACAAATATATATATATATATATATAACCCTTTAAATAGTCAATTTGTTGAAAATGATATAAATAACTTTAATGATCAATATTTAAAAATTATCTTAAAAACTAATAACTAGGAAATTAACTTTAAATAAAAAAATTCAATAAAAAAATCTATATTTTTGAAAAAAAAAATCTAAATTTTAACTGATGAAATTGGTCTAGCTCCACACAGAATCTCACTCTCTTGTCATTGATACACAACTGGTGGATTCAGACTTGTCAAATCGGTTAGTCCCTACACTTAATACTGCTTTGCGCGGTCATTCAAACACGTTAGCTCTTTTATTTTCTTGATTTTATTTAGTTTTAAAACTCATGTTGTAAAAGTTTTACATAATTAATGTCTATAATAATATATAAATAGTACTTATTGAGGTTATTTTTGGTATTTTCAAAATGTTTTTCAATTAAAGGGTTATTTTTTACTCTTTAAAAACAACGTAGGGGATAATTTTGGAATAATCTAAAAATTTAAGAGATACCTTTTGGATTATTAAAAATACAAAGGTAAATATTAGATTCAACTAAAATTCAAGAGGTACTTTTTAGATTTTTCTCAATTTTATCTTCCAAAGATTGAAGCTATTTACTTCCAGAAATACTTTTGAAATTCTCTCCAGTTTCCTATTAAAAAATAAAAAATAAAAGAATGCATATCGGTACACTAGCATGTTACTATAAAGGAGATGAAATATCTACTCGATCGCTATCATTTTGCTTAAAAGCTCTAATCAATTTTTGTGGTTATACTTTATAGACTTGTAGAACTTCCAAAAACCTTGTATATTTGTAATTAAAAAAAGACCGTGTACATATATATCTAACAATAAATTTAATAGTGTAAAATAAGCTAAAGTTCGCACATATATATATATATATAAATGTTCAAGTCTAACGCTCAGGTAAATGCAGTTTGTTCGTATTTCTCTATATCGTCATTTGTTTGTGTGTGTAGCACTTATTCGATTAAGTTTAATATTCAAAAAAATAATCCTATACATGCATGTAATATTAGGTATTGCACTTATATAAACTGAATATTTACACACGCATATGAAAAAATCAATGATTTTATATGGGAGTATACCAAAAATTTTACATTTACCAGGCCGTATAGTTCTCAATCTTAAAACTTTACCTATATTATTTGACCAATCCTAAGCATCACAATTTCCTTCCAAAAGTCAGGTATTTTTCCTTAACCATTAAGCTTTGGCATCGTCCTCAAAATAAATAAATAAATATACAACCATTCCCTCTTAGTGCCGGCGGTCAGGCAGTGCCCAATCAACTATCAATTCCGGTGATCTACTTCTCAGAAAGTAAATAAAGTAAAATTAATAACCGTATAGTTTTTTCCTTATCAAAATTTTAAAAAAAGAATATGAGAAAATTATTGAATTGACCCTTAACGTGTATATAGGTCTTGATTAAGATTCTTTACTCTTAATTAATATTTTTTTATTAATATAATTATTTGATGTATACCTCAAATGTTATTCCATGTTTATCAGATATCTAAAAAAAAGACATTACCTTCATACCATAAATGTGCCTAAAATCACCAAATAAAAGCCTTGCCAGACAATATTAGTAAAGATTCCTACTAGCAATTCTAGCAACATAATTAATCATATAAAGATTATTCTAGAACCGAACACCGGAAAATTTCAAAATTCAAAACAAATTAAGCAGTAATCAGCCACTGAGCAAAACTCACTGGACTACAACTTCTAATTCAGTACCATTATCATGATTAGTACTGTTAAAACAGTTTTAGCAACATCCCTAGCACTCCCTTTTAATTAATTAATTAATCAGCCTCTGAAATCCTTGGACAGCATCAACAATGTCGATGACGCCTCAATCTCACCAACTCTTTCCTTCCCTTTCTCACGAAGCTCTTCCAAAGACCTCTTCAGTTTCTTTAGATCTTCAAACCCTAGATCGCCGATATCGATCGGTGCCGCTTTTTCTCCGGCCGCTATTTCCTTATCCAGCGCCTCTCCCCGCTTCTTCTCGTCCTGTAACTGCTTCACCTGCTCGTTCAGTTGCTGGTTCAGCTTCTCCGCCGTTGCAGCCGCCGCGGCCGCTGCCGCAGCATTGTTCTTCTTATTCTTCGACGGCACAGCCGCTGCAATGGCTGCCTTGTCACGGTTCGGTTTCGATTCCTGTTTTAGAAACCTGTCAGCGACGGACTCGACGTTCGGTTGCCCGAAGGAGAAGGGCTTTCCGCCAGGGGAGAAGACGACGACGGCCACCTCTGCGCCACAGAGGGTGGCGAGCTCGTTCGCCTTCTTGAAAAGGCCGGTCCGCCGCTTCGAGAAGGTAACTTGGCGACAGCTTGTGTCCTTCACCACCTTCATCTCTATCTTCCTACGCCCCATGATGTTATTTTTTTCAAATTTTTTATTTTTTATTTTTGATGTTTCTCTCTTGAGAGTTTTTGGGAGAGAAGAAAAATGAAAATGTTTGTAAGGAGAAATAAAATGAAGAGTGTTTGGGTGAGGGTATCTATAGGATTGAGATTTATGACCTAAGCAACTAGGTTCAATGTTTCTAATATTGGTTTTAAGTACGGAAATAGTTAGAAATAAGTCAATATAAAAAGCTTAAGAAATTATATAGGCCAATTTTTAATTATAAAAATTAATAGACTATAACTTGTCAAGTTATGGTTCATAACCAGATACATTATGAACAAACTTGTCAAGTTATGGTTCATAGCCAGACAAGTTATGGACAAAAATCATGAATTATGGACAATAATTTGTCAAGTTATGGTTCATAACCAGACAAGTTATGGACGAAAACAGTAATTTGACATATTTATTAACTTCTGTAAATTATTGGCCTATTAATTTTAATTCATCTCAAGTATTGGTCTATTTTTCTCTTTCTCCCTTTTAAGTATTGGTCATTTTATTTTAACTTTCTATATATGTTTTCTTTTTCTTCATTTCCTAAGATATTGGTAGAGAATTTATTGTTTTACCTTTTGAGCAATATGTGCGTGAGTGTAAAAGAAAATTAATGGGAGTCATTGGTTACTTTTAGTTGGCAATCATTTAATTTAGAGGTAAGAAATACATATTTTAAGAAGGGAATTAAATCTTGGCAACAATGTTATTGGATTCTGTATTTAAAGATGTTTGTTGTAATAAGTTTATGTACATTCAAAATAATGCTCTTTAATTTTGCTTGTTTGAACGTTGTATAAATATTGCTCAACTGCAAATAAAACTACAAAATAAAATGTTTTTGATGAATAGAGAATGTGTTTTTCAATGGATAAATGATTTCTGGATCTAGTATAGAAAATTGATGTGAGACTCGCACAATGATTAATGGTGTGTGTTAGTGTAAGATTTACATTTAAAAGGTTACATCGAAAGGTGTAGTTAGATCCTACCTTGTATAAAAGATTTAGAATTTTACCATGTATAAACATTAAGGATCACGATTTAAATTTGATTATGACGTACTAAAAAATAACATATTACGTAAAAATCGTATCACCATATACGTCGACGGAATCTAACATAATTACTAATTTTAGCTTTTTATTATTTGGTAGTATCTTGATTTTTTTTTTCTCCTTTGAATGGAGTGTCTTTGTTGTTACATATAGTTGATACCTAACGGAATGTTTAGACTTTTAGTGTACCGTCTTGTATTATATCATTTGTTATGATTTTTTGTTTTTTTGTTTTTTTGTGGAGAAATTGCATAGCTTTTACTTTTGAGGGACACACATATATTATATGTTCGACGAAGAGTTTCAGCGAAAAAATTTCTACGAACTGTTGTTAGCGTTTTAGGGCGCCAATTATTCAAAGTAATCCTCACCTGTATGCGAATTAAAATAAGGCTCTTCAATTTGCTTGTTTTGTTGTGTAAATAGTGAACTACAAAGAAAACTACAAAATGAAATTTTTTTAATGGATAGAGAATGTGTTTTTCAATGAATAAAGAGTATGTGGATATGGTATAGAGAATTAATGTGAGACTTGCACAAATAGTTTATTATGATGTGTGCTTCTGCAAAGATTTACAATTAGGTAACGTCAAGAAAAATTGTACGTTTAATCTTACCTTGTATTAAAAAAAGGTTAAGAGTTTTACCGCGTATAAAAATAAAGGATAATCATTTGAATTTGTTAATGACCTACTCATAAACTTGCATGACATATCAGGCAAAAATAGTATCACTATATACGTAAAGAGAATCTGTCATAATTGCTGATTTTAGCCTTTTTTATATAGAGATGTCAAAACGGATCAAATTGGATGACTTCACATGAGCACAACGCGTTAAAAAAGTGGGCATGCCACATAGGAAATTGAGGGAAATAGGCTTGGGCTATAAAAATAAATAGTTATATTCTTGATTTACATTAAATTAACATTCTAAAGATGCCCCTAATTAAAACGTAATCTTAAAATTTGCTCTACCTATCTTTAGAATGTTAACATTATAGAGAGCGAAGAGACAAAGAGAGTTACATTATACTCGAAATTTTTTCTTTATTATTGTTAAAACCTAAAAATTGTTCGTCAATTTTACTATCTAAGATCAAAACTATCAAAAATAATAATAATAATAAAAATGTGAGAACTAAATATGCTAAAATAAAAGCTCCGCGACTAAATTCTCACTATATATACTCAAAGTTGAGGGATTGAGATAATAACAAAAAAAAACAAAAGAATATAGCCAATAAGTTCAATTGTCTTTTTTCTCCGGCAAAAATTAGTTCTTTTTTTTATCCAAAAAATAAAATACAATTCTCAAAATATGATCCAGCATATACTAATATATACTATTTACTTTTCTTTTCTTAATTTTACCAATTTTTCAATTTGAACATGGAAAAAATTGAAAATTACTTATTTATTTATTGTAAAAATCTGAATATAGTATCTTGTTACACGCAAATGGAATCCAGTAAATGCACTTTCCTTATATATAGTAATTAAATATAAAGTCTCATGGAGTTATATAACAACAAATTAATTATGAAACAAATTAAAATACAAGTTTTCTTTGCTTTTCCTCATCAACAAAGTAAAGATTTCGTTGGCATAAAATAGTACTTCAGAAACTTTAGAAAGATGAAACGAATTAATTTTTACATCATGTTTACCAAATAACGTATGTTTAGCGTAAATAATCACGAACTTTTCAAAAACAAAAGTAATTAACGAAGATTAACTAAAATTGAAGAAATTTTGACGATATATGACCGATACACGCACAATCTGCATAGATATATACACATCATTTTTAGTTGAAAATGTAATTAAATATTGACTCTAATAATTTATTTTTGCTTGAAAAAGTCTCCGGTTGTATTCTTCCCCTTGTTATAGTGGCTAAACCTGTTGAAGCGGATAGTTAAGTGTGTTCGTGTGTCCATCAAATTTCGCATCCTGATAAATTCTCTATTCTCAGAAAAGTAATAGACACAAAGCTCACACCGTGTCAAATAAAATAATTGATGAAATTAATTATTAATAAATTGCGTCGCGGTGCTTTTTTTAACTAGAGAAAATGTATTTCAATCTTACCCCCTACTCCTCAATTAGTACATTGTCTTTCCTTTTCTTTTGAATTTATTTATTTATTATAAATTTTTTTTTTGCTAATGACCTTTTAAATTTGATTAGTACATTCGCTTTCGGGTAAGGGGAAAAAAAAGAACAAGAAGAAGAGAAAGAAAATAGTACACAAACTTAATCTCCGACAATATTGATTATCATATATGATATCATATATATCGGTACTAGTTCATTCAATATCTCTACTAACCATCTAGATTTGAAGGGATAAAATTATGTATAATATCTTTTTCTTCTTCTGTTTTAAAAGTTTTTCTTTTTGATTTTATTTGTAGTAGTAGTAGACAAAAAATATTGAACCTCTCTAATTTGAAAGAAACTGCGCTACGTGTGTCAAGAGTTAACTATCCAGGTGGTGCACATGCAAGGTAGAGAATCATATGTGAACTAGAAAGAAAAAAAGTAATTGATGCGTTTGAAATTAGTTTTTGAATGTTTTTAAAAATGTTTTTTCGCGTCTTTTAAGACACAAAAATAAAAATAGTTTTTAAACTGCGTTTATTTAGTAAATATTTTGAAAATAAAAAACAGTAAAAATGATTTTTGGGAAGGAATTAGAAAATAGTTAAAAGTTATTTTTTCTTTTCTGTTTTCATTTTCTAGTTCTTATCAACAATGTTATAATATATTAAGTAATAATTATAACTAAAGTAATTGATGGGTTTGAAATTAGTTTTTGAATGTTTTTAAAAATGTTTTTTCGCGTCTTTTAAGACACAAAAATGAAAATAGTTTTTAAACTGCGTTTATTTAGTAAATATTTTAAAAAAAAAACGAAAATAAAAAACAGTAAAAATGATTTTTAGGAAGGAATTAAAAAATAGTTAAAAGTTGTTTTTTCTTTTCTGTTTTCATTTTTTAGTTCTTATCAACAATGTTATAATATATTAAGTAATAATTATAACTAAATACGATTTCAATTTTTTGTTATACTTAAAACAATCTCTTAAAAAAATCAATTAAACACAATTTCAGAATCAGTCTCAGAATGATTCCCAAAACAATCTCATTTTGACTTTCGTACTGAAAACAAAATCATTTTAAAAACGTTACTAAACGGGACCTTTATTTTTGAAAATATAAACCTGCCATTGATACCTTAAAATTCCGAAGAATGCTATTAGACACTAATCGTATTGAGCATCACATATTAATATAAAATAGGTCTTGTGATATGGGATTTACGAGTGGGGCGTCAAACCTCAGTGATAGTGGTTAATTAGTCGGTGGTTGCCTCAAATATTTTTTTCTTTTAAAACTCTACCGTTTCAAAACATTGACGTGGAGTATCATCATTCATTCAATCAAAATTGAGAATGTGTGCGTGTGTTTTTTGTTTTTTGTTCTTTTTGTTTTTGTGTTTGTGTTGGTGTTTTTTGTTTTTTATTTTGTTTTTGTTTTTGCTGAATGTTCAAAAGCTAGAGTTTATATACGACTTATCAGTTATCACCAAGACGATAGAGACGAATCAAACCTATCGACATTCATTCAAAAGCTATCCCCATGACTACCACCTGGAAAGTATAAGGACAACTTTTCGTTTCTCCTCTGCCTAAGAAAACTAAGATCCCATCAAATTAAGAGAAAAAAGAACAAAAAACAAAACAAAACAAAACAAAACAAAACAAAGGTAATTCAACGTTAGCTCGCTCTATCTTTTTCCTTTTCAAAAACATTCTGTTACACTAGAGTTTTCTTATTACGTTTGGTCATTTTATAATTTTATCTTTGGCAACAATAGAAAAGATAAATAAGAGAAAACAACCCAAAAATCGGAAGAGTGACAAATTTACTATATATAAAGCTTTTTTTTCCCTCTTTGCTGGTCATAATATAAATTAGAAAAAATTTATACAAAAATTAAAAATTGTAAGTAAAAATATAAAGAATAATGTAAAAGGATTGAATAACACTTGAATTAATCTACTTTTGTCATCACAACCATTTATAATAAAAGCACGTTTATTTCAAATGAACATAAAAGCGATATATAATGTAAACAGACATTGGTCAAATAAAATTTTAATTTATCAAAATTTTCAAATCTCACAATATTTTACAGTACAATACAAATATATAATTGAATTCAAACATTGTTATTGCATTATTTTGGAGGTTGTATTATTGTTATTATTTCTTTTATTTTTGCCAATGTATTATAATAGGGCATTCATATCAAAAAGTAGAAGGCATGAATTTTGATTTTTTTTTCTAAATAGTATGTACGTAATGGTGGATATTTTACAGACATATTGCTAGATCTTCCGGCGTATGTTTGGATACTCTGGTAAATTTGGGAAGGAAAAAATTGAAATGGACTCTGTGCTTTATAAATACTATATGAAAATAATCGATATTTCACAATTCAAATCACAAATATCTTTTTACGTGAGAATAAATATTTTAATAAAAAAGTTAAATTTAATTTTCATAAGAACAAATACTGTAATAAAACACTTGAGTTAGTTAAAAAAAAAAACAAGTTGTATTTACTTCCATCCATGTACGAATAAAATGAACAACGATCGTCCAACATTGTAATGGTCGGAAATAAAGGGACAACCAATAATTATACCACGTGACAATTAATTCAATGATTAATAGAAATAGAGAAAACGACAATTGTTGTATCACGTAACAATAATATTTAATTAGAAATTGAGAAAGCAACAACTGTTAATGTATCACAATAAGAAAGTAGGAATACAATATTCGTGGAAGAATGGAAAGAATGTTAGGATTTATACTCTTTCTTAACTACTTTTAGATTCATGACTCTTTTTTCTCGGTTTTAAATTAAATCGAGGGGGGGAAAGTTTCACAAAAAGGACACAAAACTAAAAATGAAGATTAAGGGGGCATATAATTTCTTAAATTTCTCTACAAGTTATTGTATCCTGTATGCGCCAATGCATAGAACAATGAGTTCAAAAACAGAAAAATAATGACATAGGTTTTTTCATTAAAAAAAACAATGTTTACATAAACATTATAGAGAAGTTACCATATTGCAAAGTAGAAGTGTGCAAATGATCAATTCTAGATTTAACACTGCACGTATTTCTCCAAAGTGAGTACCGTGTGATGTATAAACAGAAATAATCAATGGGATAAAGATATATAAACAAAACAATGGTGTAACAATTAACGCCAAAAAAATAAAAAATAGAAATAACGAGAGCATAATATACCAATTACTGAGTGTTTTTGTTCCATTTATACCAGTTAAGGCGCTCATAAATCTCACCAAGAACACTCTCGCAAAGTAAGATCTTTCCTACAATATGTATTCATGCCATCGAGATATTCATTGTGGAATTGTTGCCTTTTATAAGGGAAAGGATAAAGAAATCAAAGGAATTCCAATAAAAAAATGAAAAACAAAAGAGTTGATTGCAAAAGAGTTCTAAAAAAGATAAAAATAAACAAACTTAAACATAAATTAAAAGAGACTTCATTGCTGAATCAAGCACAACAGATCATTAACACAGAAACTAAAAGCGACTCCATTACTGATCAGTTAAACACAATAGATCAATACATGACGAAAACCCTAAACAAACACAGAAACGTAACTAAAAGATAGAAAAAGAAACCCCAAAATGGAGAATCTTTGAGACCAACAACAACAGCAACAGTTTTTTTTTTTTTTTTTTTTTTTTTTTGAAGGAATTGAAAGACACGACAACCTTAACAGACATTAATTCTAATTAGTACTAGAAAGTACTATTAGTCCTCCTAGTACTGCACATTATTATTGTTTCCATTGCCAAGGCCCGGGAAAGGAGAAGGAAAGCCAGTCCAATTAAGGAGCTGATTAGCCTGCTGATTCCCGGCACCACCAAAAGCCGGGCTAGATCCTTTGCCGGCGCCTCCATAGGACGGAGAATTAGGCGGCTGCTGCGGTGGCGGCAGCGGAGGAGGAGCAACAGCATTGCCACCAAAGGTAGAACAATTCGCATTGACCATCCTCTCCTTAACATGGCTGCAGATTTTTTCGTGGAGATTCCGAAGAGACTGGTACCTGGCGTCGAGCATCTCCGCGTCGAGCCCGTCCAGCGGGGCCTCCCACCACTGCTTCTCCTCCTCCTCCTCCTCCTCTTCTTCCTCCTCTTCATCATCATTTTCGCCGGCGGCATTCATCAGCCTCTTCTGCGAGGCTAAAGCCAATCCATTCAGCTTATTCGCCAGCGCCTTCCGCAGCGCCTTCTCGTCCTCCAGGCGGTCGGCGAGGCTGCTGTGGCGCTCGTTGAACTCCTCCACCTTCCGACGCCTGAAGGCCTCCACGATCGGGTGGGCGGCGGATTCCACGGCGTTCGGGGCCCGGTCGCCCATGAACCTGTCCACCGCCGCGTCCGCCGAGGGGTGGCCGAAGGAAAACGGCTTCCCGGAGGGTGAGAAGATCACCAGTCCAAGTTCTGCACCGCAAAGAGTGACCAGTTCACTCGTTTTTTTGTAAATCCCAGACCTTCTCTTTGAGAAAGTGATCAGACGATCGTCTTCGTCCTCGATCATCTTCATGGCTATCTTTTGCTTTCCCTTCGGTTGCCTGTTGGCTTCCATGGATGGATAGGACTGAAAAGGGATATCTATATAGCTTTTTTAGGGAAAATAACGGAGGAAAAGGAAAGGAATCTTTATGTGATAATGACGAGGTTTTCTTATGAGAGAGATTTATATAGGCGAGAATATAAGGAGAAGTGATTAGAAATTGCTAGCATGAAATAATAGATATTTTTTGTTTTTCCTTTATTACCTAATACCATGTCATTTATTTCTTTATGTTGTCGTTTTACCATTTCTGCTTTTTGAACATACAATTAAACCTGTATAAATTAATACCTTTAGACCATGAAAATCTATTAATTAATCTAGATATTATTTAATTGGTATATACATAATATTTGGACGAGTTTTCAGTTGGAACCGGCCAAAAATAATATGCAATTGAGATTATTAATTTATCGAGATTATATTGTATTCAGAACACTGTTATGAATTATTGGCGCTTAACACTTATTAATAAAAAAGGAACCCACAATATTAATATAGAATCTAAAAGTAGAATCGTGTTTAACACTGGTCATGCCTTCAAGTGTTTTTTTTTTTTTTTTTTCCCCCTCCTTCCTCTTCGATTTTACTTCTGCCGTTACATATTATTTAGAAGGCTTTTTTATTTTTTTAGTGAAGGTTTTGGCAGATTTTGCAAAAGTTTAGTTGTCACTAAAAAATTGTCAGTCAGTCTGTAATTAAGATATGGCTCAAATTTTACGTTTGTTAACTGTATTTACTCTCTTTCTCACATGTGTCTATATACATGCATAATATACTTAATGTGTAAGTTCTCTTAATGTAACTCTAGCGTATGACAATAATTAATTATTTTGTTACCTAGTGAATTAATTGTTCCTTTTAGGAATACAGTGAATTAAATTGGGTTCAATGAAGTAAAATCTATTTACATATAATTAAAAGTTTTCTTTTTTATTAATCTTATTTAATAAAACCAGATTATGAAATCGCTCTTTGGATTCTCAAATATTATACATCTGTGGGTAGGGGTTGTGTAGAAAAGATCATAATTATTCATGTAAAAAATACTTTTTATTTAGTTTTTTTAATTTTAACTAATTAATTAACTACTAGTCTCTTATTGCTCAAAAAAAAAAAAAAAACCGCCAGTCTTTATACTCGTTTAATGACTGTAACTTATTAAATGTTTATTATATGTATTCTGATTATTTATACTGCGTTAGTATTAAAAGTAACGTCTTAAGTTTGTCTTACGTCTACATTCAAAGTAATTCTCTAATGGTGAAAAAAAACATTTTGAAGAAGACAGGAATTAAGAAAAACCTAATGGAATTATGCACAATATGTTTGGTTTTTCCTTTCAAAATTAATCGGAGTATACAATTGGAATTGCTCGTTATATAACTTTTTTTTTTTTTTTTTGTTCTGCGAAAACCTCTACTACTAATTTGTGAAGGTCTATATATGCGCAGGAATCGGAGGCATGGTGTTAAATCATAAACCTAATATTTTGTTGTTCCAAAATAAAATTAATCAGGCCATATTGAAATTAATGGGATATAAAGAATATTTCTTGGAAATAATGTTAAGGTCTTGTTTGTGTGTCTACAATTCAGGATATGTTAAAATATTGTTTATAGCGCATATATATTATTCAAAGAAGAAACCAGTAACGTAAAAAACTTGGTCAACAGAGAAAGGAAAAAAAAGAAAAAAAAGAATGAGTAACTGGAAAACAACAATGAGTAAATGAAAACATATTTTTATATCATTAAAACATTTCGAATGGTAACAATACTCATTTCCCTTTTCAGGTGAGTGAGTGGGGGACATAGAAAGCCAATTAAACAAAATTGACATAACAGAAACATTAAGACAAAATTAACTAAGAAACGCAATGTCTTCTTTTTCCCTGTCACCTCTCCTAATGGATATTGTGCTAGCACGACTAAAGTTTTTCACTAAAATGCTAATACAATAAAAGATTTAATTAATACCCTATTTGCACTTTAGACAGTGAATAAAGACCAAAAGTAAATCAAAAACAAAAACGGCTAAAAGACCAAATTCCGACAACAAGACTCGAAAAAACAGACAACAACAAAGAGCATTTCTAGTCCCCATCCACATGAAATGACCTAGTTAGGGTTTTTCCCAGAGTTCCTATTGCGAAGAGCATTAGGATCTTCAGTAATAAACAGATTGGATATTCCTTGCGCAGAAGCCATTGCATCAAAGGCAGGAGTAGCCTTCTCTCCATTGATGTGGTTGCACAACTTCTTGTGCAGATATTCCAAGGACTCATTCATCCTGAGAAGCTCCTCGTACCCGAGGTCGTCGACCAGAGTCTCCCACCAGCCCGTCCCCATCGGCGCCTTATCCCTCACGGCCGCAGCCTTATCCTCCACTAACTTCTCGATGGCCTTGCGCTTCTCCTTCTCCGCCTCGAGGCTGCCTGCGAGCTCATTGTAGCGCTGGATCAGCGCCTCCAGCTTCGCCTGCCGGTGGGCCCGCACGAAAGGGTGGTCATCAGAATCGCCGGCGTTCAGGTTGAACATAAGTGGTGGCGGTTGATCTTGAATGATGTTGTTGAGCCGGCTTTCTATGGAATCCATAGAAGGTTGAGCAAAAGAGAAGGGTTTCCCCGAGGGAGAGAAGGTTCCGAAACCAACCTCAGCCCCACAGAGAGTGGCTATTTCAGTGGCCTTCTTGTAGATCCCAGATCTACGCTTGGAGAAAGTTGTTATGCGGTCGTCTTCTTTGTCAATCCTCTTTATCTCAATCTTTTGTTTTCCCCTAGTTTGGCGCCTGTCTTCCATGGCCATGGAAAAAAGGAAAAAAGCTTAGTACGGGAAAAAGCTTTGAGAGAAGAGAAGAGAAAGAGAAGAAGGAAACGGAAATTTAGGGCTTCCTAAAGTGTGCTTTACCTTGCTTCCGCTAGCTCTATAAATAGAGGTTTAATTGGACTCAAGTCTAGGGTTTTGTTCTCTCTCTTTTCATTTTTCTGTTAGCCCAATTTGTGAGGAAAGGTATTTTCTTGGTTGGCCCTTTTTTTTTTCCTGAATAAAACTCTTGGTTGGTACTTCAATTTCTTAGTTTATACTTACCTAGCATGGATTGTAATTGTACTATTTTATTTTTGGTGTATATTTATTAGTTCTAGAACCTACGGCACTACCTATTCTGTCTTAGCAATATCTAGTTAATGCACTTTTTTTTTTTGGCTTGAACACTATATAATGCACATTCTTGTTACAAAGTATATATAGCATCCACACTATATATGGTGTTACAAGCCTAATTCACTAAACATAAGCAGTCTTTTATTTTCCTTTATTTTTTTCCTTATGTCCTTTATTTATTTATTTATTTTTGCTTGAATACTATCTTATGCACTTTCTTGTCACAAACTATATGATATTCACATACGATTTTATAATCCTTTACTAAAGGATAATCTTTCTAGATTTTTTTTTTGAAGTGATAATCTTTCTAGAAATTGGGCACTCCTCTTTTTTTTTTCCTCAATTATTTCCAAGTTAGACAGTTTTCAAAGATATACTTTTAGATGATTAGACCCGATTTTGAATTTTTATGATTGATTTGGAATATTTTCATGAGCTTATCGATCGCGATCAGATAGGAGAGACTTTACCTTGTTTTCATAAGACAACAACGATCATACTTAATTACCTTATTTTTACAAGACAATGACGATCGCACTTAATTACCTTATTTTCACAGGATAATGACGATCACACCTAATTACCTTATCTTCACTTCACAAGACAACGAAGATCGCACTTAATTACCTTATCTTCAGATAACAACAACGATAACACTTAATTACCTTATTTTCACAAGATAACGTGTCGTCGTTCATGCATCGTTGACAATTAATTAGGAATATTGAACGCCTCGGAAAAAAAAAAAAGAATGATTATAGTTCGGATCTATATATCTTGGTACGCGAAAAATACAGAGCATTCCTGTTTTTGGGATGATATCGATGCACCCGATTGGGGACATGTCCACGTGAACAATAGAAAGAACGATGCGGATTGACTTTTCTGTTTTATGTGTTGGGTTATAATCATGTCGTATCTGATCAATTGACCATAACAGTTGGTGCTCGATTATCATGTCCTTTTACTTTTTAACCCTTTAATTATGAATCAAATCCAACGGGACACACAACCCCACATGTCTTCCATGATACCGGATAAGAGGCTAAATATTAACTGCTTCGGTGAGGGAGCATTGCAGCCAGTGAGAAATAGCGCTAATGAGGTCTATGCAAGGGCATCGTGATTGGTGGTGGAGACGACCGGCTATGGCAGATATGAGGCTTGGTCGGCGGAGGTCGGCCTTTGTTAGATGGATCCATAGTCGCGGGACGCCGGATCAAGAGAAGGAATTTAAGGTGTCTTCGTCTAATGTTTAGGCACGACATTAGTGCCACCGAAAGATGGTTCGATAGTGGGAACACCGGGTGTCGTTATATTCATTGTTATTTTTTTATGTTTTGTTTATAATAAAGGTAATGTTGGTTTCCGTTATGTTTAAGGTGGTTTCCTCACATTTCGATTTTGTTTGTGCGTCCCATTCAATTAAATTGGCTATCAACAGTGTGTGTTAGTGTACGGCTAGATTTATTCCTAGACCATGTCGCTCGTGTCCCTAATATTTAAGAGTTAGTATTCTCAGAGAACTAGTTTTATTCATCTGCTATAGTAGTTTTTTCTCTAACGAGTTTTGGTCGCGCTCAATTTTGTATGTGATGAGCGAGTCTTTCTCATTAGGTCTCGACACTTGTGTCACTCCATGTACTTAATTCATCAATCTTCATTGGTGGATCTAATCAATGTCCGGATTTAAATTCTTTTATAGTTAGAAGTCATTTGCTACGTAACTTATTAATTTTGAAATGAAAATTTTCATTTTTTTTTTTTAAAAAAAGAGAGAAGAAGAGAGAGCAATACCATTCAATTTTTGAGACGAACCTATAATTCCAAAATATAAAATTTACGGTAGAAGTACTCGTTTCAGCATAAAGTGAATAATTCAACAAAAAATATATAAAACTGTTATTTAAGTTTCATATAGTTGGTGTTTCGTATTTACTAGTCTTTAGAGATAAAGTAATTCTATTAATTCTTTTATTTATTGCTTCTTGCATCTAAGATCTTAATTTATTACACTCATGATCCATTTATCAAAAGAAAAAGAACACCCATAATAATCCCGTTATTATATGGGCTATTTAATTTTGTTTTTTTGTTTTTACTTAATTCGAATTATTTCAATTTTGCTCAGTTATTTTGTACTGAAGTGGTTCAAAGATTCAAAGTGCTTAACTAGGGCTAGCAATTCGTGTTTGCATGTTGTGTTCGGGCCGACACGATTATAGTAAATACGAAAACGACATGATTAATAAAAGTGTCAAAAACCCAAACACGAAATGCTAATAACACAGTTAATACGACATGACATGCGAACACGATTACTAAACGGGCCGTGACGGGTTGACACGAAAAAAACATGTTTATGATCTGTTTATGACCCAACTAGCAAAAATAGTGTAATTTTATATTGCATTCAGAACTAATATTAATTGACTACTTAATATCACTTATAGTTAAAATCTGACGAGCATATAATAAGAAAAACATAAATCCTCCAATTCTCTATAATTACCAGCACACATAAAAATATCTAAATATCAAACACACACATATATATATATGATACTATTAGATTATCACATATATATACATATATATGTTTCAAAACATGACCAATTACTAAACATTCAAAGAAGTTTGAAAACATAACCAACTACATCTAAATAAGTTTGAAAACATAACCAAACATTTGAATGTTTAAATGCATAAAACATAAAATAAATATAAGAAAATGTCTTCTTTGAGGTTGAATGCCCAACTACGCACTAAAATTAGTTTTCAGTTACTTTAACCTATTAATGGATGTCTTTTTATAAATGTCATAAGGTTGAATGTCTTTTTTAATTTTTTATATTTTTTATTTTTGTATATGGGCTATAAACGGGCAGGTCGTGCCATGTCGTGTTGATCCGTATAACTAAATGGGTTAAGCGTGTCAAACGGACTGACACGAATCCATCCCCATTTATTTTTGTGTTATTCGTGTCAGTCCGTTAACGACCCAATTAATAATCATGTGGTCTAAACTTATTTATCTCGTATTATTTTCGTATCATTTCATCGTATAGTGTCTAAAATTACCGGCCCTATGCTTAACTACGTACTTACATTCATTTTTATACCTTCCATTAAGAAGGAAAAAAAAAAAAACTAGCGGCTCCCATGAGCTTGATCCCAGCGGAGCAAATCAAAGGTGATCCCAGCGGAGCAATAAACGGAGCCAAAGAAGGCTCGGTGGGGGCTTAAGCCCCCACTCAAAATTTTTATTCCTTAAAATACTATATATATAAATATTTATTTGTGTTATATTACTACTCATAGTCCCCACTAAAACTTTGAAAATTACTCTTATAGTCCCATTAAATTTTTGCTTCGGTTATTAACCTCCACTAACTTAAATTCTAGCTCTGTCACTGGTCATATTTCTATGTTCAAATATGAATACTTAAGCTTCTTTACAAATGGCCATGCAAGAAAGTGGATAAGCCTAATTATCTTCATTAAAAAATACGACATCCATATAATGATGTTATAAGCCTAATTCACTAAGGATCTTTCTATATGAAGCACTCTTTTATTTTCCTTTATTTTGAGATAATAAAGTAATCAGGAAAAATATCCATGAAGATTAATATTGAGATAATAATAGCTTAAAATATTAATAAAAAAATATACGGACAGAGAAAAGTCATAAAAGGTATTTCAATAAGTAATATTTAAAAATATAAGACTTAAAGAAAATAGAAAAAAAAGAAAAAAAAGAATTGATCAAAACACGAGTCGTTTTGGTCTATGAAGCAACAGAAACACAGTTGTCATTCTTATAATAAGGATACGTTTAAGAGAAATTATTTCAGAGAGAAATCACAAGAAAAACACAAAATGAAAAAAAAAAAATGGAATAAACAAAGTACAAACTCTCTTGTATATATGTGTGATAGAAAGATATTTAAATTTAAAATAGTAGATAGACCAAAATGTATGTTTCTATCAAGACATATGCTTTGGTGATATTTTTATATGTATATATATGTATAACTTATTTATAAAAAAAATGATTGAGGCAAATTTTATAGAGAATTAATTAGATGAGAAGGAAAAAGTATCTCGATCAAAATTTCGTAGTAGTTATAAAGTCCACATTCGATAAAGTACTATTTTTTTACGGAATAAAGTACTATTTTAGAGTATGTAAAAAAATATTTAAGTGAGGACACACCAAAAAAAATTACGTGATCATAGGGACAAATAAAAATAAACAAGTATCTTGATGATATGTGTCTCAAGAAACAAAAAAGATAATGACAAAAGCAAAAAAAAATTGAATCCACAAGAAACTGAAACGAAACTAGGAGGGAGGATATTTGATAAAAATAATATTTAAGTAAGGATATATTTCTTTAGCAAAAAAAAAAGAAGTAACAAAATATTTGAAAAAAATATATATAATAGGGTTAAATTAAAAGAAAAAAATATTTTGATGATACCCATTTCAAAATGAAGTTATAAGATTGTATAAGCAGAGAAAGAAAAAAGAAAGATTGTAGGTGGGAAACAAAGCAAGAAGAAGAACGAAGAAAAACAAAGAAAAGAGGAAAAAAAAAAGACAAAAGAAAAGAAAAATGGGAACAAAA